TATGTTGTTGGTTGGTTTTTCAGTTATACTTAAATCTAAATTATTGTAGCTATTACTGTATTTTTTCCTCTTCAAGTGGAATCAAAAAAAAAAAGATATTATTGTATTTTTTTCCTGACTAATTATATCTCTAGGATAAATTTCGGAGTGCATTGTTATGTTAATGTTTGTTTGGCTCTTCATATGTATTGTCATAACTGTTTTCAAGGGTGTTATACCAGTTTGTACTCCTAACAGATATATGGATGTACCTGTTTCACCATAAGCTGGACAGAAATTCATTTTTTCCTCAGGTTTTTTTGTGAATTTAATCCTGTAAAGTAGCACTTGCATTTCTTTGTTAGGTAACGTTGAATTGAATTATTTGAGTCTCTTCATGGTGAATTGTTTATTCATATCTTCTGCTGTGTTATGTAATTAACTGTTGTTGTGGGCTTTGGATGGTAAGGCAAATATATCTAGCTAATATATAGGTCATTTTAAAAAGATAACCAGAACATGTTCAGTTACAGTGTTCATAGGAGAGTTTGGTGTAAATGGTAAGTGATTTTAGGGATAGTGGTTGAAGGGGAACAGATGGATTACTCTAAGATTCAATTCAGCATGTATTTATTGGGCATCCACTGTGTACCACTGTGTCCTCTGAGTGGTTCTCAAGTTATCATCATGGTGTGTACTGGGTTAAAGCAGGAGACTGGTTGAGATTGCTTGAGCCTTGACCAATCTGGTTCTGGCTTCTGTTGTCTCTTTGTGGCTGATCGGAGGGCTTAGAAGACCTCTTCTGTTTAGAACATCTTTAACTCCCTCAGGGCCTACCAGCGTGCCTTGGCACACTCTTTGAGAAGCTGTGTTCTCAGGATACAAAGATGAATGAAACATTGCTCCTGTTGACAAGGAACTAATCATCTAGTTGGAAGAGTAGGGGCACCAAAAAAGGAAAGGACTGATAGGAATTTGATAGGTGCTATAAAAGGGGTCCATACAGATGGTTGGGGATTAAGTGGAGGGAATGATACTGACCCCTTGGGGATATCAGGGAACACTTCAACTGAAGAGGTGGCATTTGAATCACACCACCATGTAGATGAGAAGCAATGGAAAGAAGAGGGCATTCTAGAGGGAAGTCTGGGGGTGTGTCAGAAACATGGATGTTAGGAAACTACATATCCAAATTACCTGGGTCCTGGGATAAATAAAGGAACATAATGGAAGGTGAGGCTGCCAATAAATCAGAACTGGGTTTTGGAGGGTGTTAAATGTCAGACTAAGGATGAGTGTGGTGGATTGTAGGGAGGAGAATTTAGAGACAGAGACTTTAGTTGGGTTCATGGTAATAGTCTAAGTGAGGGATGATGAGGGCTTGAGTTGAATTGGTGGCCTTGGAAAGGAGGTGATGGATTCAAGAGATATTTTGGAGGCTGAATGGTAAGATGTGGTGACTGGTTAGGTGGGTTAGGGTAGAGGGGGAGCAGTTAGTTCTATATCTCAAGTCAGAGATGAGGTTGTGGTTTTTATGGTTGGGTGGCTGGAAGAATGGGACACCAAGAATAGGAAAGTCAGGAGGAAGAATGAGTCTTAGGAGTTTAGAATAAAGGTGAACTTGGTTTTTATTTTGTTGTTTAAGCTTGTAGAAAGTTGAAATCAGAATTTTAATCCTAGGAGGAACTTTAGAGATTTACTGGGGCAACGGCTAAGGAAGTTTGGGGCCCCAAGGAGTTAGGGAAATCAGTGAGGTCTCACAGTTAAAGCACAGCCAAGATGAAAGCTCCCAGATTCCTACTCCAGGACTTTCTTCTTTCCCTCACACTGAGAAATGCTGAAGGTTCTTAGCTGTGGTGTTTCCTTGCCCAGGTAGCAGCTCTCAGTAGAGAGCCGGAAGTGGCATAGTTTGTGTTGGGGATTGAAGACTTTATTTTTTAATTAAAAAT